CTTTTGTTTGTGACTGAGTTCACCGTGGAGTGTTTTGTGTTTCCATGTGTCCTACCTGCTTCACTCCTCGTATCAGTATGAACCAACCCAGAAATGGACCCAGCAGACGATCCATTTTAAAGGGAGCTGTATTCATTCACCTGCTTGCTGGCTTGCAGCTATGGTGAATGGAGGGGAGCGTCCAGAGTTCAGCAGCGAGAGGCTGTTTTGGCAGAGGCGCGCCAGATGGCTACGGAGAAACCAGGCTTGGTGAGATTCTTACCTGGCTGGATTTCGAATTTCCTCTCTGGATTTCAAATTTCCTCTCTGTGTGTGATTCCCGGCCTGCTAGCCCCAGGCATGCTAGCTCCCTGCCTCCCAATTCCCAACCTGGCACCATACGCCTCGGTGGGTTCCGTCTGAAGTCAACCCGTGCTTCTGCCCCAGTTCCTTCCAGGCTAGCAGCCCGAGCCCCAAGAGCCATGGTTCCGGCCCCAGTTCTGGCCCCAGCAGCCATGGTTCCGGCCCTGGTACAGGCCCCAGCAGCCATGGCTCCATGCTCCCATTGCCGGCCCACACCATGGTCCGTGCTCCAGACCATCCCACACAGCTGCTCCGGTTCCGTCCGTGCCCAGCAGCATGGTGTCCGGCTACAGAACCGGCCACCAGCCATGGTTCCGTCCCCAGTTCGGTCCCAGCAGCCATGGTTCCGACCTCCAGTTTCGCTCCAGGACTGCTACCGGTCGACGCGCTCCGAGCCTGTCGGCGTACCCGCCGACTCCAGCACCTCGCCATGCTGGGCTCTCCAGCCACGCTACTCCCGAGTCCGGTCGGCGTACCGGCCGACTCCAGCACTCGTCTCCTTTGGCTCCACCGAGCGCCAGCTCCCCGGTCCCTGTCGGCATAGGCCGACCGACACACAGTTCTCTTCACGTCCCCTCTCAAGCCTTTCCGGTCCCCTCTCAAGTCCCTATCAAAGTGCCGTTGAGGTCGCTGGGGACCTGCCAACTCCTGTCCGCCCGTTGGGTCCGGCCGCCGACACTTTCTGCGGCGATGCTGCGGGTCCGCCAATCTATGCCTGTGCCGTTGAGGCCCGCGACTATCTCCTGCCGGAGGCGCCAACCCGTCCTGTGCCATTGGGGTTCGATGGGGGTCTGCCACCCATGTCTGTCCCATCCATGGGATCCCGCCGACTGCTCTCCTGCCGGGGGGTTCTGCCAATCCATGTCTTGTCCCGTGGGGTCCCGCCGACTACTCTTCTGTCGGAGGTCCTGCAACCCTGTGGCCTTGAGCCGTGGAGGCCCCGCGACTACTCTTCCTGCCGGGGTCCTGCCAACCATGTCCTGGTGCTGTTGGAGGTTCCGCTGGGGTCCTGCCAATCCATGTCTGTCCGTTGGGGATCCCGCCGACTGCTCTCCACGCCGAGGTCCTGCCAACCCGTGGCTGACCCGTTGGAGGCCCCGCCGATACTGTCTGCCGGGGGTCCTGCCCACCCGATGTCCTGTGCGCTGTTGGAGGTTCCGCTGGGGTCCTGCCAACCCATGTCTGTCCCGTTGGGGTCCCGCCGACTGCCTCTCTGCCAGGGGTCTGCCACTCCATGTCTTGTTCCGTTGGGTCCCGCCGCTACTCTCGCCAGGGTTCGCTACACCTGTATCCTGTGCCGTCTGAGAGGCCCCGCCAACCTACTCTTCTGCCGGGGTCCGCCAACCCTGTGTCCTGTGCCGTTGGAGGGCCCCGCCGACTAGCTCTCTCTGCGGGGTCCTGCCAACCCGGTCCTGTGCGTTGGAGGCCCGCGCCGACTACCTTCTTGCCGGGGGTTCCGCCTGCCAACTATGTCGCTGTGCGTGGACGGTCCGCGAGCGAGCGTCTCGGCCGCGGGGGACCTGCCAACCTAGGTGTCCTGTGCCGTTGGAGGTTCGCGCTGACTGGTCTCTGCCGGGGGTCCTGCGGGCCGTGTCCTCTTCGTGGGGGATCTTGCGACACCTGTCCCCACCGCTCGGATCCCGTCGGCTCGCACCGGCCTCGCTGCGCCGCCGGAGCTGTCCGGCTCTCGAACTCGGCCCGGCCCCGCTGAGTGCCGCGCTTCGCCCTATGATGACGGCCCCTGAGGTTCGCCCGGCGTGGCTTCCGCCCTTTTGACTCGCCTTGCCCGGGCCGTTCCGCCCGAGACCCCCTCTCAATCTGCCTGCCCCGGGCCGTCTGCCCGAGACGCTTCCTGGTCCTCGCCGTGCCTCAGGCTGTTGCAAGGCCCGTCCTCCGGCCCCCCACCCCTCCTGCTTGAAGTTGTTGGCTTTTATTTTTTTTGATGTTTAGGATCGTCCTAGGTCGTCCGGTGAGGGGGTTCTGTCCTGTCTCGATGTCATGTCACGTTTCTATGTTTAGAGTTTGGGCGTGTTTTGCTGTTCTCCTTCTGTTTGTCCTCCTGTCGTTAGTTTCCTGGGTGTGT